CTGTTAGATTGTTTAATAATATACAGGGTGTCCCAGAACTAGTGTTAGGCCTTGAAATGGGGTGGAGCCATGGTGATTTTAAACAACTTTTCCTTTGCAAAAAAGTTGTCCGAGGTGTATAATAATAATGTATAAATCTATAATACATATAAATACAATGTATAATACTTTTGCTCCCTCGTCACGTGCATGCGTTTCAAAGTTGGAACGATTGAGGTATGAGAGTGTTAAGACGTTTGGAGAGTGGGGGACTTTAGGGTTTAACCCCTTTTAGGGTCTGGACCGCAATGGCTCAGCGTATCGATGACGTTTTCTTCCTTCAAACTTCAAAGAAGTTCGTCAGTTTGCCGCTCCGGGAGCGAACACTTCACGAACTGTTCGCGAACACCTAAACCAGTGATAAAACTACTTCTCCGTAGCGAGTTTTCGGTTGATGTTCGCAAACATGTTCGCGAGCAGCTCGCGAACAGCTCATTACAAAAGAATGTTCGGTGATGTGTACGCGTTTCTGAACTCTGTACGCGAACAGTTCACGAACTTCTACGTGAACAGTTTGCGAACAGCAGTCTGTACGCACCTTTACACAACTATTGAGATTGAGAGACGGCCAGAACACAGCGGGAGTGCAAGGAGAGACGGGGTACGCGCGAAATAAACACACTCGACGATTCTTTTTAGATAAACAGAATAGAAGAATAAAAAGAACCGTTCGCGCAACACAAACGTTTACGTTGACAGTTATTCATTTCATTCTATCCTCCTCGCCATGTCGAGGTTGCCGTTCTCGTCGCCGCCGCCGCTGCCGCTGTACGTCTTTGCCGACGATGTCTGTATAACAAAGACAAAAGAAAACAAAAACACCGAAACAATGCATCGTATGGTTGTTATTTCGACAGGAAATAATCATTACAATTCGTAAACTGTAAGCAGCCGTGTAGGGAAAACTGTCCGAATTTTTTTACTCTCTATTCTGACAATTGCAAACGATCGAGGCGAAGATGACGAACATTGTGGCCGGATCGATCAGTATCGAGATCATAATTAGTTGTGTAACCAAACACCAAACAGTGTCTGCACTGCACGTACAGTGTAGTACAAGCTGGTGTATGGGAGCTCGGGTCGTTGAAGCCCGAGAATTCCGCGGCGACTAATCTGAAACAATAAACGCGAGATCAATTGCTGAACACGACACCACCGTTATCGATGTCTCCGACGGAAAAAGACAACTCGAATGCCTGTTTGCCCACGGAGCGCTACAGGTCACGAACTGATCGACCTGCTGCGATTCCAATACGAAAATACGGTTCCTCGACCGGCCGGTGGTCGGCCAACGATCAGAATCCACTTGCGACCAGGGTGCGCATAATTTTTCCCTCACGGCTCACTTCCCCTCTTTTTCGCCCGTATTTCGAGCCCCACTACTATTCCCCTCATGCGCCTTCGCTGACCATGCCTAGCATACCCCCATCAAGTACCAGTCCTCACTTTCCGGCCGAGGGAAAAATGATCCAGTCCCTGTAGTCACCTACCAATGGTGGGAGTGAGAACGCAGAGAAAAACAGGGTGAATTATGCTCTCTCTCATTCCTACCATTGGTAGCTTATCCCTATTCGCAGAGCCTATTTACACGAACCTTGAATGGGGTATAAAATAACATCGAGATATAATTCGTATAAAATACATACATAGTGATAGTAAATTCTTATAGGTGAGTAATTTACAATAATGTTAAGATAATAATGACGTTGCTATTAGTTTTCTTCTTTTTAACGATGATAGATGAGTAAAGAACAAAATGACATGTTACGGCAAAAATAGAGAGCAATATTCTCGCGATACGATTACAAAAAACGAAAGAACCACTTCACTTCTTTTTATACATTTAAAAGAATGATAACAATAGATTTATATAAGTAGATAAAAGTCAATAAATTATTCGCGTCCATTAATTTGATTTAACCATGTGCTTGAAGGTGATCTATCCATCTGCACACCTTTATCCTTGTTGTCGTTCTTCTGCTATTGAATAATCCTGTAAAGCTCATATTCATCGATCTAACTCTTCTGTATCTTCTTCTTCTTCTTCACATCTGCAAACATTATATCTGTTAACCCAAATCTTGAATAGAACATAGAATGTGTAAGCTTTATTGTGAATTATTGCAACAATTTCTTTGCATTCAAAAAATATGAAAGTGCTTGTGAATTTTTAACATGATGTCAATGAAAACTACCATGAAATAATTATTTAATAAAATCATAATTACACATATTCGTCATAGTCTTCATACTAATTCCATCGTAAGTCATAGGTGTCCTCAACCAAATATCTATCAAAAATATCAGCTGCCCCGGACAATCCGCTAGAAACGTCGTACACAGTTCGTATTAATTCGCAAAGTCCTTCATAAAAAGTAACTGGTTTCTCATAAAGATACCGATGACCGTGCCACATTACAAATCTGAGCTCTATTGACTGCCTCCCGCGATATCGATCACAAATATGATTCATTGCCGATTCGTAAAATGTATTAGTCAATCTAATTGTCACGGTCCGGAAACCGAGTTGTCGGATCGACCACTTGAACACCAAGATCTTTTAAGTTCTGAATATGAACATTTGACATCACATCGTCATGTATCCAGTCTCTTAGTGCACACAATCCATGAATAAAGTCATTTAACCGACAATATTTATAAAATGCCAACTTTGTGGGTTCAGTCAACTCCCAATTCTCGTAATAAGGCATGGTGACGAAAGCACGAATTTAACACTGTAACACAAATGAAAAGTTGAAGCTTGAGATGAGACTAATCGAAATATTGAATACGCGTATTTGAATGATCTGTACACGTAGGTTACGGAAAATTAACGTGCCAACAGCACGTGAAGCGTATGGACTCCTCGATTCTTCTAGCGGCTAAGCAAGGCGAAGCGTGCACAACTGAATGTGCGAAAATTGCGGCTACTGCTTTCCTTCGTCCTCTGCATGGGCCCAGCGATCCTGCGAAAAATCCCTTGCGACGGTAGGGGGGATAACTTACCAATGGTGGGAATGAGAGAAAGCATCGTTTTCTCTACTTTCCTTTGTCCTTTGGACGGACCAAACGGCACTGCGGAAAATCCTTCACGATGGGGGTGGTCGGTCAAGACCCCGGAGCGTGTATGAAAAAATAATAATCTGCAAATCATTTACAAAATCTAAAAAAACTCTTATAGATACTTCAGACGATATTAAAAATAAAAAAAGTAATCGGTCAACCATTCGATGGGACAACGCTCGTCGGTCACGCAAATGCCTCCCTAACGACGAGAGAGGATTTCGGAAACCCTTCTCTACTACGCTTAGCGCGCCTTGATTTATATAGGCGTCAGTTGGGAGGTGCGTACTCCCTCTTAATCTCCTAGGGCCTACCAACTATTGATTACATTATTGCTCTATATTATGGTACTATGCAAACGTCGGTTGGTACCCGACGTCACATTAAACGTTGAACTGGACAGGGCAGCAGAGTTCAGCTGACGGCCCGTTTTCTCTAGATTTAAGTAGCTAATACATAGATGGGCAGCAGTCGCTTCGCGCTACGCTAGCCGCTTGCATTGGCGTCGCAAAATTATACATGACGACGTAATAAAGACGCGCGCGAATCCAACACACATGACTCAATATTACGACTGATTTATTACGCTTCTAAAAAATTGCATTTTATACAGAACACGCAATTTAATGCATGTGTTAATGAAAATAAATTTTATTTTCTTTTTCTAAATGTATTATGTTGAACAGTTTTTGATTCATTGTAAATTCTTTTCTAATTTGAAGACTTTGTAAACGGCAGTAAATAAATAGCCGAATAAGATCAGAAAATTAACCATTAAATAGCCATGCGATTACATTTTACACAACCTACATACATATTTGTTTAATTAAGTTTTCCTATTGCCATGGGGGTATTGTAAAACAGGTTAACCAAATC